TAATGATACAGCATGGAGCGGATAAGTGGCATCGTAATTGGTCAGTTCTACTAACGTATTTAGTGCATGCTCGCTATCCCAATACATACGCCTTCGCACCTGGATTTCTTGCAGCGTGCCGTAAACAGCAGTTCCCGAGCAGGACTGTGCGGAGACGGGAAAATAGTAAGTGTAAACGGATAACTTGGAAATTCTAGTCAAAGATAAGCTGATTAGGTTAGAACCCAACAGCTCCGAGGGGCTAAAGTAACGGATAGACGATAGAAAATCTGCGCGTCACTTCGGACCGTGTGTCAACAAGTCGCAGATCAGATGAGAGTACAGTTACTATAAAAAAGGAAGTGATGTTAACAAGTAGTCCGAAGGCACCATTTGCCGAACAGACTATACCTTCACTCGGTCAAACGAATCTATTGTGTTTCGAGTTCCATCTTTAAAAAAATTATCTTCCTCAACAGATATCTCAAGATGGTCCTTAACGCTGTCAAATTGCACATTTAACAGATGCGAACGTCCCCAAACGCTACTGTTTAATGAATGATAAATTCCTAATCAGCCAATAGCATCTGCGGGATTTGTCACACAACGAACAGCACGCATATTTTAGGGGCATATGCACCTGCTGTAGGCAACCTAATAGCGTCAACCACTATCTTGAGAGATGTAAAGAGGAACAGAATATTCATAAGGAGGAATTTGAAAGCGCTATGGACGCAACTGGCTGAGAAAAGGTATGGACGCTGGCTGAAATACTATGAATGCGCATGCCAGCAAACGATAAAGCGGGGAACAGCCATGGAAATGAGACGGTGATACTCATTAAGCCCCAGGGACAACACATGCACACACGACATCCACAAAACATGAGGCGGTCGAGGGATGCCGGTGGACCATGATGCGACTATCTACTACCGCGGTAGTGAGATGCGACAAACTCGTATAATGTGAGACGAAGCGCTGGACTTTAAGTGCCAACATGTGCGCATGTCAACACTAGGGTAATTTTAGGTATTCGTATGATATGATGATTTAAGGTGGACCAGCTTAATGGAAGTGACTGAAGCCTAGGCGCACGGATATCTATAAAAGTGGAAATATCATCACACCATGTCAACCACCGATCGCCGCGATGCTGCCTGAAATTTGTAATGATCATTAGAAAGTTACGGAAAGATACATGCATGCGGGTAGACGAAAGACATGCACCGGTCCCAAGGATTAATCTGAGGCGAATAGGCAATTTGTTACAATGGATAAATGAAACAGGTATCTGGATGCCCAGAGCCAATGGAGGGATCGACTATTGTAAAAGTCAAGCCATCTATTGAACATAAACGCATTGAGTCCCGTGTGTCCGGATTCAACTTGACCAGCCAAACTAAGAAGTAATCTGAATCAGAGGCAAGTACTGTCACAATGCATCTGCAGCTGTGTAAAACGTTGGAAAATAATTAAGGACAAGACTGACCCCTTCGAATGCTTCCAGATCGAGTTGATGGTGACTGATTTGGAGTAAGGAATCCCTTCCAATGATTTGTGACGATGTGACACTGTAAAGCATATTATTATTTAGGATATAAGCCCCAAATACAGCAAGCACAGTGCATTCGCTATTTCATTCAGGTTGCTTGGTCACTACCATAAAGAAAGTCGAATGTGCGAAGAACGACTCACATTTCACTGAGAGCGGCCGTGTTGACTGCATCGTTCAGGTCCATAAACATTTTAAGAATAATTAGAAGTGCGTAAATGAAAAGATGGCGTAAGCGAACTTATTTTCTCTAGAATTCCTTGTCATGATTGTATTCATACGTGGGTCAAAGTGTTAGATGAATCGGCAGGCGGTGCTGATGTAAGTGAATGCCGATGATGGCAGTAACTAAGGCCACAAACCGAAACTTTGGGAATCACAAACCGAATGGGTCAATGAAGTTCTAGCGTGTGAGTGAGCCTACTCTGGCGGCACAAATCAGCTTCGCAAGGTCGGATGGCAACAGTCCCGGAAGATTCAAGTATGCACATCCCGACGCATTTCAACCACTGTGCTTGAACAGCTCAGATTACTTAGTGGTGTGGTCTGTGCTAATGAGATGTGAGGCTGGGGAGGAATCTGGTCGATTATCGACACTCAGCCACGGAGAGATCGATGAGGACAAGCGTCTTGTTGTATAAACAATGCATTCTGTTCCACGTGAACAGAAAAACAGAGTGCACATTGATTTGGTGCATAAAGACATGTTGTCCCCGAAGCCGAATTTTACCACTGATGAATTAGCCACCTGGTAAGTATGCTCCAACGTGTGCGAAAGATGGTGAGTCCGGTTTGCCCCAGTGAAGTCGTCCCTGCGCAAAAGCTACAGATAGAGCGGCTTTGTCTTAACTGTAGAGGTTACGAGAAGCTGCTTGTTTTGTTGCGCGTTGGCGCTGATGAAACTGTAGGAGGAGCCATTTTACCCTCGAGTCGAGCGAATGCGCTACACCACATTCGTCTAAAGGCCCGCCGGATTCTATGGATGAAAAGGTAGGTCGCAAACACATAAGTAAAAGTATACCTGAAGTGTGGACAGGGTTCAGTAAGACGATAGGGATGAAAGAGGATAGTGGCGATGGGCTTGTGGAAGTCAGCGGTGGAGATTTTCTGCTTCAGGTTCGACTCATCAACCAAATCGAAGTTATCTGAGGCTAGGTACAGGCCTATCAGATAGCAGTTCTCGACGTTTTGATTGTCAACTATCAAGACATAGGTAGAAGCATGAAGGCGCAAGGTTTCAATTTAAAAAGTCACGTCCTGCATGTGGAATCATTGTTGCTAAGATTCCCTACGATTGGCCCAGAAGTTCGAATACGCAAACGGCCGTGCTAGAAAAAGCGGTACTCAGTACAAAGTTACAGATGGAAGAGTAACGATTCAAGAGGCCAAGACGACATAGACCAACCCCAAAAACAGATAGACCAGTAAGGTTGTCACACACCCGCTCGACCTGACGGCATAATTGAGAAATCTAGTAGCTCAGAAAAGAAATCACGTAGCAGTCCACACTTGGTGTATATTTGATCAAGCGTGTTATCGTCCATGGCAGTTAGGTCAGTGTAGACAATAGGTAAAAATGAGATAGAGAGTAACGGAGAAGAAAATGGTCGGATCGAGAAGGTGGAATGTGTTCGTAAGGTGAATAGATCAAGCAGGGTGTCAAGAAGATAGGGTTATGAACATCAGTCAACAAGCAAGCCTGTTTTGAGTAGTGCGGAAAAGACAAGTCACTAGTAAAATGTTTTAATGAATCATAAATGACGACATAATGTACAAAAATAAAAAACATAGTCCGTTTGGTTGCACTGCTGCTAGTGCGATCACAGAAAAGGAAGGAATAGTCGGCATCAGAGTCCTTGCGGGAGAATTGAAGGTCGCCGATATTGCACTCTGAGAGTGTAACGAGGGGACACGAAGATTGATCAGCTTGCACGCCACCAATACACCAGGTAGGCCAACGATGCGAATAGGAAAGCGCCCAAAAACCACTTTAAATCCTGTCTGCCTTTGAAGAATTTGCCCGATTTCCTAATTCCCGCCTCGCGAGAGGAAAGTGACAGTGCTTGGCGTTGTTTGCCCAATTCCAGTAGCTCTTCCGGAGGGACAAGGATCCACAACTTCACGGAATGCTTCACGAGGTCTTCCACCGGGTGTTTCTTGGGCAGACGTAGCAAGGTCTGGTGTAGGAGACCGAAATCTGCTGTCGTGGATTGCACCTCATCATCACTACGAATGATGACCTAGCGGGGCGGTAGAAAAAAAGTGGAGGACAATACACATGTGGACGAATGTAAGAAAGAAAACCAGTGGGATTACAAACAAAGCACTAAGAGTCAGAAAATAAGCGGAGTGTGGGAGAAAAGGCAGTCTGGCGGTGTAGATGCTGTTCCGGAAACTCGTACGATCAATGTTAACCAGATTCAAGTGCACGCATTGTCGTTTCGTGGATTGATGGACACAAACCGTTGTTCGACAGGCGCGCCACCTACCTTGAATCATCTGATGGAAGCAAGATTTCTCACCCAAATATCGAGTAGGTCAAGTCAAGGTAAGCCTTATGTACCCGGATGGGTGCATTTTAAGCACTTTATAGTATCGACTGCAGATGAAGCAAAAGAATATCTTTAAAAAAAGCAAAATTTTATAAATGGATAAAGAAAAGAGTGCACTGGTGACACTTGAGTAAAAGGATCTGCATTTTTGTATAATGAGCGCAAATTGATATACAGAATTCACGCGTTATTTTAAAGCCGACAAAGTCGAGTTTTGAGAGCACATTACTCCATAATTGGTTTGTGGCCAAAAGCAACAAATCCCGAATGTTGCGCAGTACCTCAAACTATTATTCAAACTATGTAGTGACCTTGAAAGTCCATTGGATTAAAAATTTGCCAAAATATTCCTACAGAAATGATATATCTACACTAGAGAGAGTAAAAAGGACTAGTGTATTTATATACTGAGCGCACCTCCATGAAGGCAGAGCGTCTAGAAATATGCCAATATCAGCACTGCTCAAACAAGCAATGAAGGTGCCAATACAAGCAAGACACTTATGAATACTCTATTATAGAGCAAGTAGAAATGAATGTTGTACAACTCTTTCGAAATATGGCGAAAAACGTTATAAAAGTTGTCAGCTGTGAATAGCGTTGTCGTTCTCATGTAACACTGAAAATATCTGACACACGATATTTCAGGCCGCACAAAAGTGATATGTCATCGTAAGTGTGCAATCGTTCTCTGAATCGAATAGTGTTAAAATATAAATCTAACAACGTTTTGAACTGCTGCGCAGATGTCGCCTCCATCACATGTTCAGGTAAACTGTTCCAAATATTTACCACTCTCCGTTCGAAGCACAGTTTCACATCCGGCACGACAAGTTTGTATCTGTGTCAGGGTGTGCTGCATGGCCCTCGTAAGTGCAGCATTGGCCTTAGCATTGGGAAGTCACCGAGATGTAGAATACGGTAGGTCACAATGAGGTGGACTCGCACCCGACGGTAGGACAAGGTGTAGAGTCCTAGTTTCTTGCATCGGTCTTCATACCCCAAGCCACGTAAACTCGGGATGAGCCTGGTAGCAACATGTTTGTGCCTCGCCACGGGTAACCGGAAAGTAGGCGAGCGAAACGTACTCTAGCATTGGTCTAATGATGGAGGAAAAGAGGCGAGTGGCATCTACATCGGACCATGTGCCGAAGCTACGTTTGAGCACCCAAATCATGCGAAGTCCGTTACGATATAGCCTGTTCATGTTGTCCACGGACTTCAAATCGTAGCGTGAGAGTACACCGAGGTCCTTCACGGAGGGTGTGGGATATAGAGTTTGGCCGCCAAGGGTGTAGGTTCGGCCGTCAGCACCCTTCCCCAGGCTCATAAATACAGACTTGGCTGGGTTGACCTGGAGATGAACTTCTGCAGACCATGTGGATTGGCGGTTGAGGTCCTCCTGAAGTAGGCCACAGTCATCGGGATCGTCAATTTCTCCCCAAATCTTCATGTCGTCCGCAAACAAGGCACACGGCGATCGAAGAAACTGCGGTAGATCGTTGATGTGGACCAGGAACAGAGTGGGCCCCAGAACAGTGCCTGGAGGCACGCCACTTGTAGAGGGATACCAGTCAGTTAGATGGTCGTTGACCTGTAACCTCCACTTTCATCCAACAAAAAAGTCGCGGATCCACCGGTGCAGTGAGCCACCGACACAGCACATCCTGAGTTTGTGAAGGAAGATCTCATGGCTGATCTTGTCGAACGCCTTACCGAAATCGATGCATATCACGTCAACAGACTTCTCCTTGCTTATTGCCTTCAACCACCCATGCCTCGTCATAAGCAAGTTTGTAATGCATGGGCAGCCTTGCATAAAACCGTGCTGTGCGGGCGTCAGGACCTATTTTGACTGCAACAATTGTAGCAATCTCTTCTTCACGATTTCCTTAGCAACCTTTGCTTATATAGGTGTCAGACAAATTGGCCTGTAGTCGTCTACTTTGATAGGGTCGCCGCCTTTCGGAATAGGCTTCACTACTGAAGGTCAGCCGGCAACGAACCTTCGGAAAGCGACGTGTTGAAAAGGTCAGTCACGACAGGAGAGATGGTGGCCGAAAGTGACTTGAGGATCAGTGGGTGAAGCCCATCAGGTCCGGCAGGTTTGGTGCCGTCAAGGCTGGCTAGTAGTTGACATACTTCTTCAACGCCGCAATCCAGACTGTTGAGTTCGGTAAAATCGGTACACGTCGAAATCGGAACAGACGCCTGGTCATTTGCAAATAAAGAAGCGAAGTGCGCCTTCAACGCGAACGCGCGCTCAGTGCTGGAGATTAGGGGCTGCTCCTCCGGGCCATCCAGCACTGGCACATCATCTGCCGGCTTCAGGCGTCGCTTCATATAAGCAAATATTCTCTTTGGGGCGGTCTTCACGGCAATTGGGAGCTGCTCTTCGAAATGTCGGCGCTTATTCCTTTTTGCACTGTTGCAGAGGTTCCGCTGACTTTTATACCCTTCGTAGTCATTGGCAGAGTCAGAGAGGAGGAATCTGTCCCACAGTCTGCGCCGTCTTCGAGCCAGATTTCCAAACTCCTTGTCAAACCTATGATGAGCGTAAATCCCACACGCTACCTAAACTGGTTTCATTGCATGCGATATAGTAAGCGTGAATGTTTGGATTGGGAAGATGTTCTGCAGAACACCAAAGCTGATAAGCAGAATAGGGGTTTTTACTATTTAGCTGCAGGATATACATTAAAATTAGAAGTATACTGAGAAGATTAGCATGAACCCCATGCAAGGATACGCAAGATAGTACAGCGTTCCATATTTTGCTCCCAGACTCATGCTCAGTTGATGTAGTATGTCGTACGATGACTGTGGCTGTACACCCTGTTGTATCTTCAGTTTCAAGCGCACTGTTGTGACGCCCAGTACGCCTTCACCCCACGACCGCAAGAAGAAGTCCAAGATGAGCCGGGATGAACAGATTTTCTATTACAGCACGGCACCAGTTATATAGCTTTACAAACAAGGGCGAATCCAAGCTACTAAACGCATGAGATCCAACAGGCATGGAGAAAACACAAAATGGAACAAGCAAATGAGAATCGCGAAAATTGCGAGCCAATGAAGTGCGGCAAAGAAAATAGTGTCTGCGGAGTTAATCCCTGGGGGTAACCTTCTGGTGAGCGACCATTAAAAACGACGAGTAGCGTCCAATCAGTGTGGAGAAGTGATGCGTTTAAACAAATGCCAGAACAGTTGATAGTGAGAATGATACACACCAGGAAAATAAAAACAGGTATAATAAATATGTGTCGGCTGAATAATACATCCACGTGAAAAAGCTAAGGAACGCTGAGCAAAAGAAACCAATCAGAATGTCCACAGAATGAGACGGCTGAAATTAGCTGTGAGCGATTGCGAATGAGGCTGAGGAAAGCGGCGTGTCCAAAATGTAGCAGAGAAGCAGGTAACTGCGCAAACAAAGAAATAGGCAACTAACATAATTCATGAAACTGAGGGTTAAGTAGCCAGCTCCCTAACATCTCCCCTTTTAAAAAGTTAGTTACCTGTGTTTTTCTTTCACCTCCAACATGTACCTCACATTGACGCAAACGATAACATCAGGATGGTTTCCCTATGCTGGGACTGCGTCCGCACGTGCACGAATCAAGTAGTATTCGCGCGCACCGGCACAAGTTTGTCGTATCGGATCTGAAGCGGATAGCTCACCCTTTAAGTTTCGATGGTCGAGTGGTGAAATATTGGAACAGTAATGGATAATGATATGAACAGTACGCCGGTATGCAGTATCGACGCTTCGCTGCCGCACAACCACCACCAGTCGCACATGGACTGAGGATACTGCCAGAGACGCCCTGCACCTACGCAGGCTCGAACCCGCGCCGTCAGATTACAAGACAAGCTTGTTACCTTAGGGCTACGGGTCGTCAATAGTTAAGCTGAGAAAACAGTCGTGGCGAAGTCGAGGAAATTCCTAAACGCCAAATTGTGGATTATAAATTTCGAGAGCGCATCGCACATGAATGGTACATCGCACAACTGTTACATGTTGAAAAAAGGCGTCAGCAGTATGCCGGCACATCGCACCGATGCTTCGCCGCCATGTGGCCATTCACAGTGAGGCCCGTGGACTGGGTATACCGCGAGGAAGCCCACACTAACGCGTATTCGAAATTTACATGATGAAAAGGTGTGTGGGGACGGAGGCCGTAATTCAACAGATGTGCCCAATACTATTTCGATGGAGCAACACAGATCTATAGCTTGTAGCTTTTCAGTTCAGGCATTCAGAATGGTAAAATAATCGCACATAATGCACACATCTAGTGAACTCCTTTATGAAGAGATAGACTGAGTAACGCTGATCAATCGAGGCATCCGAAATCCGTTGGCTCGTCCCAGAAAAGAAACTGTGTGACCGCATTTTTATCTAATGCAGTGGTATCAGAATACACATAGCGTGCTGAGGTCCATAGGCAGAAGTAGTTACAAAAAATCCGCGGTGCAAGTAATTTTGTGAGGACTTTCAGCAACATAGATGCACGCGCAATCAGGTGGTAAATAAGGGATCCCGTTTTGGCACTGAGATTATTCTGGCCGATCGTCTGATGTCAAGGAAGACGGCAGTGGAGACACTTGATGAAAAATATTCACAAAAGGTAAGTGAACCGGAACACTCTTACGAAACCACTGGCGACAGAGCATCCAGACCACTAGCCCCATTAGAATGTAGCCCATTGTGTTCCCTGCAGACAATGCCTTGATCGAATAGGATAGGTGGACTTAAGCGGATATGCCCGGTGAAGTGAGGCTATACTGCGTATTGAGTTTGTCTATATCCTCTGGAGCGCTCCGGCCACAGTCTCAGGTAACACAGAGCTTCTTCAGAATCCCCCATAGATCAGGGCAGTTGTGATTACCTAAAGGTGCTTCGATGATGTACAAGATGTTCAATTTTGTTAGTTACGCTTTTATTGACGAAGTGCAAATTGGTGGAGGTTAGCCGTCCGTTCGGCTTTGGTTCGAAGTCATTTCAGAGACGGTGAGGAGAATCTGCTTGTAAGTAGGCCGAGCCAACAGACCAACCAAGGTCGAAGCGAAAATCTGTGTGACTCAAGGGAGACTGATGTTGAATTGGCAGGTAAGTCCAGCGAAAACTAGATCAGTTGCGGAAAGTATCGATCAGATCCTCGTCGTCACATCAGTTGAACAAGCCTACTGTTCGAGCAGTGCGACACAGCTGGTTTCACAATAAATGACAGGGCAGACGCAGGGACTAAATTGCTCAGGTGGGCAGGCTACTTTAGGAGAAAAAGAATTTTGTCTGCGTGAACAGTGAACAGCATCTAGATTGATCTGGAAGAGGACAATGATCAAACCAACTGCCTTAGTGAATGGTGCACCGATTATATTGGAACCACTGTCAACAATACTAGTGGAGTAGCATAGTTTCAGTAACAATGCGCTGCGAAAACTTTCAACCTTCGATGGACCACGATCTGCGTGGACGTTTCCGACGATGATGGGCAAGAAGCCACTCGAAAATCTCGGGTTGCATGAAACCAAAGGACAACTTATTGAGATTGTGGAGTAGGTGGACATTAGGACTACCGAACTGCACTAAAGCTGACCAACGTGGGTGGTGACACTTTCACTTCCGTGTGGGGGCTTACCTGTGCGGTCGGACCTAATGGGACGAGATATACATGGCATCAGGACTTAACCAATTTTTCGTAGCGTAACGAAACTAACAGTACCGTATAGGTTTCGCTGCATAATAACCGTGACGTTCACACACTGCTAGCAAAAAGTGACTATTAATCGCGTGAGTTGATACCCGTCGACAGGATGGCGTTTACGATCGAATTGCTTCCGCTTTTCTCAACATTAATCAGGAGAGTCGGATGAGACTGTTTTTCACTTTGTGACTATATGCAACGACACAAGAAGTTCCGCGTGTTACCCCCCAAGACATTGCAAAGGGATCGAGGGAACAAGACAACAGTAAGAAACTCCGTGACAATTGTACTAAGTAAAAAGCCAAACGCAACCCGAAGAATACGAGACGTATGACAGAAGACGGCATTCCAACGAGAAAGCGAATGATTGAACTAAAAGATCCGTACGGAAAATAGTCCAAGGTTAACAAAATACCTTCCCAATAAAAACAAGAGCAGCGTACCGCAACGGAGAGATAGATCAACATGATGGGATCCGTCGCAAGGAATAGATCAAACAGACGACGGACATCGTCCATTTCCGGCAACACGTGAGCAAACCATGTGACAATCCAAGCCAAAGCGAAATGCGGGCCAAGGCCAACCGCTTCCAGATTGGCCGCCAACGTGGGTCGTAGACGGGTGAGAAGTGCGAAGATTAACTGCATATACTCTACCGTGCTCTCCATTGAAGGCTCCATGAACAAACTGAACAAAATAATCGGAAGAAAGAGAGTGGGATAAGGAATCACGGAGTCAGACATACAACCCTTAACGCGGTGCCTTTCTAGCATTATCTTCAGTAGGAGTGCGTTATGGAAGTCAGAAAGGCCCAATACGTCAGGTAGGACAACTTTTCCGGATAAAAATGATCCCGCGAACACGTAGTCCAAAGCGCCACTATGGGACCTTATCGATGCATAACTAAAGAAGATTCTCTTGAATAAGTAGATCGTTGTCGATGCCGGACAATGCGACCATTAATAGTAGATTGCAAGACCAGCATGAGAATGGGGTACACTCGTGATAAGGCAGTAAAACTATGCACGGAGAACAGCTGGCGCTGACACATCCGCAGACAGGCAGGGCGGGTGATACAAGGACGGGTACCTGGTTAGTAAAAAAATAGTAGGGGTTAGTGTATTATGATGAGATTTGTCACAGACGGACCGAGACACTACACATCCAGGAAAGCGCGAGACGGACGTTTCGTCCTATTGGGACTTGTCAGTAGCGCGCACCCACCGAATCCTGCTGGATTCGTAGCCACGAGCTTACACTTACGAGCCAGCGACTTATACCACTGAGCTATGGATGGCGGAGGTGGAGCGCTGTGACTGTTTTCTAACAGCGATATAGAGCGGATCGTCCTACACTGTCACGCATGTTTTGAACGTGCACATGGTAGGGCTGGCCCCCAGAGCCACGACTTCCTTTGCAAGCCGCCACTAATCGAGGTGGCATGTATGCTGCAAAGGCGATTACTGACTACACTGGTCAACAACAGTGGTTTTTATGCCAGAGATACTATGGCGGTTTTAGGAAAAGTTCGTGTCACTGATACCGATTCTGGCCTCGGCTCTGATATATGGTGCATCTACGAAAAGTCGTAAAATCATAGAAAACAAGAGGATGTTCAGTCTAAGAATTACATGGAAATTGTTGGTTTACTAGATTTATATATAAATAGTAAATACCTAATGGTCATGTATACACGGTACCTGCAAAAACAAGCTAACCCGCTGGGGTATATCATGACGGTTAATTCTGGAAACAAAATTTTTTATGATTCCTTGCCATGAGATTCATCTACGAAGTCATCCAGGATGCTCCAGTGGTAGTCTGTCATCATTTGCTTGTCGCACCTGCCTTGATACCATTTTCCAGCACCTCAATGTCCTGATGGAATTTATCACCATGTTCTTCGCTGAAGTCACCATGATTAATTGGGAATCTGTCTAAGTGACTATGCAGAGAAGGTAAGTTTGTGCTCATATTACAACCCAACATATTAAGGGTTGCAAGCATATTCTTTATCAATTCCTCTGTTTACCCGGGAAGTTCTGGACAACGGAGACAAACGTATCCCAGGCGCGCGCCTCACTATCCATAGATCACTAATGAGCTGTCTAATTTGAGGCTCAAAGAAGATGCCAGCTTTCAATTTCTCCATATTCAGTGTAAGGAATGAAATACAAATGTACTTTAACAAATTGTCTCATTAGTCCTGACTTATATGAAATGGTGAGAGAATAAACACTCCTCTGTCAACCAAAGGCTTTTGGATAATGTTCGCTGCGCC